TCAGTGAATTTGTATGGGAATCCGAGAACAATGTGCGAACGTTTTGGTGACCGTAACACAATCCAACACAATTTATACCACGTGACGGCTTGCGCCGAAAAGGTGAATTGAGTGTGACAAACCCCTAGGGGAATGAACAGCTATTGTTTTGAAACTCTTCAGGATATCATTATTTCATTCATATCTTTTGGGGAACTCATGAATTTTTTGAAAAGTGAAAACCAATGAAACCAAAAGAATTCTCTGGAGGTTTGTCACTCTGAATCAGGAAAACGTTGCCACACCACGAATGAGGTCTAGTGTCCAAAAATTGTCTCGGCTAATTTTTACGCGTTGTCATGACAACAGGAACATGATGAGCCAATCTTGAAGCACTTACAGGACTTAAGAGTTATATTTAGTGGACCCGGAAGTGACGTGGACAATTCCCAGTACCCCCTACCGATACCCATGGTAAGCCTTGAACGAGGTTGAAGTTAATATAGATTTTATAATTATGTATATGCTTTTTAACTACGGATTAGAATTTTCTTGCTTTCTGATTGGTCTAGAGTCAGCGGAAATACATGTCAGAGGACCTATCGGTATATTACGGCAACAAATCACTTGCATGCTTGAAACTTTTTTATTTTCTAATTTTCCCCTCTAATTTTCCCCTTGTTGTAGTAAATTTTTTGTGGTAAAAAACCAATTTCCCCCAGTTTTCCATGGTATTTACCATTCTTTTGGTCTTCTAGCTGTCAAAATATGTTGTGCACCACAATTTTTGTCAACTAGGCATCAAAATATGTCGTGCTGAATAAGAGGATATACCATGGCAAACTGGAGGACATTGGTTGAATATAGATATAGATGTACAGGATTGTCAATAAAATTTGTGGTAGGCAGTTATGAAATTGAAATAGGGGGTACACCGGAAATCACTAGAGCATGTAGTCAAGGCATCCTGAATCTTGAACAGGATTTAAACCCATGTCCAGGCGATTCCGGAGCCATACTCTAACCATAGTCTCATATGAGACGACTTCAAGGTCACATTAGATTGGTTTATCGGCCCGATAGGAGATGTATAGTTATGTGTGCGCATGAGAATATACAGTCAATGTCATTAACATTGTCCCGCTGAAAAAAGATATTTAAACATTCACACATTTACACATTTACACATTTACACATTTACACATTTACACATTTACACATTTAGACTAAAAGAAATATCACGTGTTTCATTATGTATTCTTTGCCTCGTGTGCGTCAGCCCGAACTTTAAATGTAAAATTCAACTCGTGAATCGAAAATCCAGAATGCCCCGACCATTTTGTGAGAATTTAAGATGGAGAATGGTATTTCAGCGTTTGYCTTATGCTAGCACGTTCGAGGAAACGTGATATTTCTTTTAGTCTAAATGTGTAAATGTCTAAATGTGTAGATGTGTAAATGTCTAAATGTCTAAATGTGTTTTTTCGGTGAACAACGTTAATGACATTGACTGTATATGAAATATGTATTTGTACTGTGTTTGTAATGTATCAAATTGAGCTGAGCCTAATAACGTGTATTTCTTTTGTTTTCTTTGGTTTTGTTGTAGGGTTTTGTTCTGGAATTCCACTTCACACCCAACCCTTTCTTTACCAATACTGTAAGTATACTCCTTTGATGTATCACTAAGCTTTGTTAAATGGACTAAATTTTGATATGAGAGATGAGGCRGTAAGCGGTGTGGGATGAGCTCAGAAATCATATAAGAACTTGCGTAATAGGTAAAAATGACAAGCCTTGCTGATGAGGCCCAATGCAGGCCAAAACAGCTGTCCACGGTTCCTAGTTGAGCTGGTTCATTTTTTATGCGACTTGAAGTTGTGAAAGGCTTGTATAGCACTCTTCTTCAGTCGTTTCATCTAAGGCTCGTAATTTACCTATTACGCATGTTCTTAAATGTTGATATGTCATGTTTCATATCCACTATGCATCGTGCTTCTCTGGTGTTCTGCCAATCCCTGTGCTTTATAAATGCACACAGCATGTGCACGTGTTTTCCATTTCTTCATTAGTTCAATGTTATCTCTAGTATAACTTGATCATGTTAAAAAAATAAAAAAAATAAGTAGCTTGATCATGTAATACCAGGTGCTGACCAAGAGCTATATTATGAAGTGTGAACCTGATGAAGATGACCCTTTCTCATTTGAAGGACCTGAAATAGTTAACACCTCAGGGTGAGTCATGTAATATTTTCCCTTTTAACACCACATGTCATTCCCTTGAGTACTATTTCTTTCTTCATCAGTAATGTTTTCCCATCTCAGACCACATGTCATTCCCTT